AAATCTGAGCAAGAGTTAGCCCATCGCCTGGAACAAGTTTTTCTTCGATTTGACAACGCTGGCCTTCGCCTGCATAAAGATAAGTGTAAATTCAATGAGCCAACGATAGAATTTCTAGGATTTAAGCTGGATTCGTTTGGTATCCGACCAGCTCCAGGGAAATTGAAAGCTATTCAAAACGCACCACCACCAAGCGATAAAAAACAACTACAAGCGTTTCTAGGGCTTCTTAATTTCTACCACTGTTTTTTGCCACACAAAGCAACAATTGCTGAGCCCTTGCATCGCCTGCTCGACAAAAATTGCAAATGGTTGTGGACGTCGCATCATCAAGAAGTTTTTGAGCAACTCAAACAACTTATCGTGTCTGATCGTGTTCTTGTCCACTACGACGAGAAGCTGCCTCTTGTGCTTGTGTGTGATGCATCGCCTTTTGGAGTTGGCGCAGTCTTGAGCCATCGTATGCAAGACGGTTCTGAAAGACCAGTGGCTTTTTACTCTCGCACATTGAACAAAACTGAAAGGAATTATGCACAAATTGACCGGGAAGCTGTAGCAATTATTGCTGGTGTCAAGAAATTCAACGACTACTTATACGGTACGCGTTTTACGATTGTCACCGATCATCGTCCCCTACTTGGTATTTTTAATTCAACAAAGCCTATTCCCGCAGTCATTTCTAATCAAATGCTTAGAAGGTGTATCTTTCTCAACGCTTACGACTTTGAAATCATTCATCGCTCTGGGAGCAGAATGGGAAATGCAGATTTTCTTAGCCGTTTTCCTGTTGACACATACGCCAAAAAAGATGAGGAACCATCTGAAGTGTTGATGATAGAAATGACTACGCATCCCGTGCTCGACGCTAAACAAGTCGCTTCGCTCACAGCAAAAGACTCCGATACATCTATGGTGCTAAGCTGGGCGTTAAGGGGGTGGCCGAATACTCTAACTCGTGAAAATAAACTATATCCCTACTTCGTACGTCGCACTGAGATATCAACATTAAAAGGATGTTTATTATGGGGTAATCGCGTCATCGTACCTCCGGGTGGTCGACAAGTAATCCTGGATGCACTGCATGCAAGCCACCCTGGAATTGTGCGCATGAAAGCCTTAGCGAGGAGCTACGTGTGGTGGCCCCAAATAGACGCTGACATCGAACGCGTAGTCAAGCTTTGTACACCATGCCAAGTTACACGCCACAACAACTCGCAAGCTCCTGTACACGTGTGGGAGTCGACCAAAGTTCCATGGTCACGACTACACATTGACTTCGCAGGCCCTTTTCAGGGCCGACAATTTTTCATTGTAGTAGACTCTTACTCTAAATGGCTAGAAGTTTTTATCGTGAAATCAACATCGTCAGAAGCCGCTATCAAGCCATTACGTACCTTGTTTTCAACACACGGCCTACCTGATTCTATTGTTTCTGACAATGGCACCGCCTTCACTTCGGAGTTATTTAAGTCATTTATGAACGATAATCTGATAAGACATATCCGCAGTGCTCCATTCCATCCGTCCTCAAACGGACAGGCTGAGCGTATGGTACAAACAACTAAACAGTTTTTTAAAAAACTGTCTACGAAATGCGATATAAATTTAGAGCTTGTTCGAGTCTTGTTTAACCAACACATCACACCACATGCATCAACCGGACAGTCGCCAGCAGAGCTAATGTTTAACAGGAAGCTTAAACCATATTTTGATAAAATTCATCCACATGAATTAACCGCACAAACCGATAA